CGCATGATTTCTTTGCCCCACTGGAAAGTATGCCCATGAGAACATGAATCTGGGGGTCTTCATTTCTCTGTCCTCAGCACCTGAAAGATTCCTCAGCTCATAACAAGCTCTATAAATCTTTGTGGAATAATTAGATGGATGGTTGAACTAATGTGCTGTCTTAGCGATCATTCTGCAGAACCTAGAATATAACTTAGAACTACGAGAGCTAGACAGCATTAACATGTTTTCTTTCTTTTTACTACTCAGTGTAGTAGATCAAGGATCTCACAGTTAAATCTCTCATAACATCTCCCAATACAAGATTTACAGATCAAATCAAATACTGTTTTTAATCGGGATGCATTTTCCAGAGTATGGTTTGTGGAACAGCACTGAGAAATGATAAGTGATTTCTGCATTTTACAGGTGCAGCCAAAGTTTCCTTATGAGAATTATCAGATCCCAGAAAACACTAAAAATTCAACTGGGACATTTTCAGATTATCAGGATACTCTTTCTGTGGTCAATGTATTTAAGAACTTTGGTAATCAAAAGATCTTATTTTTAGATCTTCTACTTTTAGATAGATGTGCTTTCCATGGGTGGCTTGAAGATTTAGTTATGTGAAATATAATCAATAACTGCCTCTTAATTCTCCCTTCTTCATGGATTGTAGGTTGACATTAAGAATTTTCTTTCCTCCCCTCAAGTACGTGATGATTATATTAACTAAGTCATTATGGCTAATTTCACTAGGGAAATATTTAACTTATTCATTACTCTGGAAATCTGTAGTCAATTTATGTATATAATTACTTTCTTGGCTTAACACAGAGTCTTTATGGAGTCCATAGGTTGGCTGAGGATTTCTGTGACTCCTGGGAATGTAAAGTCTCCTGCATGTAAGATTTGGTGAACCAGTACATTTTGAGGGGAGAAGTCTGCTGTCAAGGAACCAAAGAAATCTGTGACTGCAAGAAGTTTTAACTATCCCTCTATATAAATGTATATAATTGAGCCGAAGGTAAAATACTAGAATCCAAGACTCAATAAGAAAATTCCATTGCACTAAAATCTAGTTCTAATCAAAGACCTTGAAGGCCTTTACATAGGTTAGAAAGTTGGTAGAATTACTTGGAGACAGAAATTAGGAGTTTTCAATGGGAATTATAAAATATAAATCATCACTCAAGGTGTCCTTGGAGAAAAAACATATCTTACTGTCTCCCTCAATCACTGTGGACTTTGGAGTAAGAAATTATTTCATCTTTTTGGTTGATGGGGCTAGAAAAGATTTGAAAACTATTCCTGAACTTTAAATAACTTTGTAAACCACTTAAATTAATTTGAAAAGATTACGATCGTTAGGTTATTATTTACTGATTACTACTCTAACACTCATCATTTTACTTGGCCTAGACTACAAATTACAGTTCTTTCTGATGATAGTTGTCCAATAAAATATCCTAAGGATTTTAATTTTGCTCCTGCAACACAGGAGGTGTTACAGAAAAGCCATTCAGTAACTTATCTAGTAATGTATAAAATGAGACATGTATTTCAAACCTGTTTGGAAAGGAAGCAGCTTATATTAGAAAGCAGGCAAAGCAAGGCATGGAAAGTGTGTAGGCATCCATTCCAAAGTGACCTCATCAAGCCCAAAGAATACTTTGTTGAACGTTTTCAAATGCATGCATGTGTCCTTGTATAGGTGACCTCAGTGGAATCCATATTGAAATGGCCACTCTCTTTGCTCCTGGGTGGAAATTCTATCCATTTCTCCAAGTTCAGCCCCTACATCCTGCCCCTGCCCCGCCCCCCCCTTACCCTCAGGGTCCGTCTACTCCATTCCTTTCTATCTGTAATCATATTGGCCTTGTGTTGTGATTTCACAATTCCCTATGAACATGTCTTATTTTCTGGCTGGGTTAAAGACCCCTAGAGGGTTGTAGTCACCCTGTGAAAACAGTGTATAAGTGTTATTTCTACTGATTACAACGACTATTATTTAAAGGCATAGTTGCAATAAGTTGCTCAACTATTTTTTTTTTTTTTTGTAGTGAGCTGACATTTGTAATGGTAGATTCCTCAGAGTTTAAACCACGATAAACTAAGCCAGCACCAAGATCAAATATTTCTTTATACAAGTTTACACTTAAAAGCAATATAATGATATAGTTAATATAGGATAAGGAGTGGGTATCTGGGCCCAATGTGTAGAACACAATGAATTAAACCAAGGGGCCATTACGCTCTGGTTTTGGCTGCTTTATAAAGATAAGTAAAACCATAACTTCAAGAATAATTTCTTCTGTTACTCCATGTCTTTATTATTTTGACTATTCTATTGAGTCTTCTTTGTTTTGAAACTCTGCCGTGGCATGTCCTAATATCTTTAGAACAAAGCCCCCTCAAGTTGTCTGTTAAGTTATTTCCTTCTTTCTGGGGTTGATTTTAGCTAGCAACGAGAATGAATATAACATTACATCATGTAGATAAGATTCATCTTCTTGGATTCATCTGGAACTACAATTGTTTTTCCTCTGACTTCTTCATCCTAACACACTTGGTACAAAACACCTTATCTCTAAGTGCTTTGGTACAGAGAATATTTTGGATTTTCCCAAAACCATGTTTCTTCTTCTCATGTCACTGACCTGGCCCCATAAAACCACCATGATAAGATTTCAGGTCACAGTGACTTTCGAAATCAGGCCTGAAGAGACAAGCCTTTGACACTGACTCCTCTTGTTCAGGGTGTAGGCACATTAGCATTATAGCCAAGTCATACTATTGGCTAAAGAAGGACAAAAGGAGGCAGGTTTTAGAGGAATATGGAATGTGCCTGGAAACTATTGTATTAAAAGTGGTCTGGCCCAAAAATCCCACTTCGAGGTATTTACCCGAAAGACACTGATTCAAAAGGACACCTGCACCCCCATGTTTATTGCTGCTTTATTTACAATTGGAAAGATACGAAATCAACCCCAATGCCCAAAAGTGGATAACTGGATTAGAAAGATGTGGTACATATACACAATGGAATATTACTCAGCAACCAAAAAAATAATAATAATAAACACATGCCTTTAGCATGTAACATGGATGGAGCTGGAGGGGATTGTGCTTAATAAAATAATCCAGAAGGAAAAGGAAAAATACCAGATTGTTCCAATCATAGCAGGAGTATAAAGGACTAGGGGAGAAAATAATAATAATAATGAGCAACTATATACCAGAGACATTTTACAGGGGTGGAGTGGGGACTGGGATCAAAAACGGTGGGGGAGGGAAATGCACTGGACTGTGGTGATGGCACCCGGGTGATTTGGTGATGGGAAGTCCACAGGGATTACAACTGAGATGGAAAAAGGCACAAAATGATGTTAAAATAAACTACTATATTATTTTTTAAAAAGTGGGTTTGGAAGTCCTGACCAGAGAAAGACCATATGAATGAATCAGTGGTGAAAGCAACATCGCAAGACACAAATCAAGTCTATGCTCCCATAAAACCACCATGATGAGGACCCAAGTTCATGGGGCATTAATTTGTACCAGGTGGTACAGCATTATCTTCTTTGATTCTGAAAATAATCCTGTGAGCACAGAGAGCAGTTTACAAATCTCTGCCTCTTGCTCGTGACAATACGATGAGTTGAGCAGAGCTGGGGGAGCTCACTGCCTCAGAGTGTACCCCAAGCATTTTTATCCAGCCAGCTCACACTGGTTGGATTCAGAACAGGACCATGTGTCTCTCCCTGGTTGGTGAGAGCCTTTATCTCATGCTTGTTTTGATTCAGAGGCGCTGCTCTGCAGTAGAGTTTGCCCATTTCTTTGCGATGTCTTCAAGTTGCATTGACCCCCAAGTCAGAAGAGAGTCAGTGTGGAGCCAGAAACAAGCAAACAAGCACTAAACTAGGAGCCACAGAGCTGGATTCTAGTCTGGACGCACCATGACCTTTGTAGACCTATCCACGTCACTCCACCTGTCTGTCCAGGTACAAGGATGTTGTGTTTGCTCTAGTCTAACATCTGGTTAGCAGAATAAAATAGGATTTTGGGTAAAAAAAACACACAAAAGAATGCTTACCACTTCTACTTTGATGCATTACTTCAAAATCCAAAGAACTATATACATGAAAAATGAAAGTGGCTTGCTTCAAACTGGAAACTAAACCAGTGATTTTTTTTAATAGCATAAAAGCGTTTCTGGTGTGTTCATTTGCTTGCGTTTTGCTCTATTTATCAGAATGCGCACACCACAACATCAATAATGTTATGTTTAACAGGAGAGGGAGAAGACAGATGGAGAGTAAGCATGAACTTCAACGTATGCATTTATCTTGCAGTTGTACGTCGCTGAGTTCTGGCGTGTGGGATAAACAAGAGCTGTAATGTAACCAAGTCTTAGTTGCATGTCCTTTGAACATTATTCAGTAGTGGTTGCAAGGAAAGGCTCTTTCCTCCCTCCTACATGGATCACTGGCAGGTGACATAAATTTTCTGATTGCTCCAATAAAAATATCTCACGGGCGCACTGAATCAAAAACACAAGGTTAATCTAGTCACTAGCATTTTGCCTCGAGTAATAATTAAATCTGAAACTTGCTCTGTATTAAAACTTCTTTGCTGCTGTGGGCCAAAACCTGCTACATAAGAGGAGGGCAGAGGCTTCTGCTCTTTCTCCCCCAGGTTGACCCAGGAGAGGAGGTGAGGAACTCTCCTGCTTCAGTGGCAGTTACCTGAAGGTGATGCTTTCTGTAGTTGATGTTTTATAAACTGGGCTCTCTGGAAGCCCAGTGCATACGGCCTATTGCAGTAAGAGGAAACCTGGCTCGTCTACACAAGAACAGGTTTGGCTGGTGCTCAGGGAAGTCTCTAGAAAAGTGAAGCACTGTTCTTTTTATAAACAGGAATATGTGTTTTTGAAATGCTTGGCTTCACAGCAGGATGCAAACCCCAATCACTGATTTCTCCTCAGACACTCCAACTTCTCCCTCCTCTCCCAATTGCAGGGGGAAATAAGTTAACAAATCAGCCCTTCCATCTATTCTGGGCTTGGATCTCCTTGGAGAAAAGCTACTACATTGTGGATGAAGACGCTGTGGTCCTCAAAGTGAGCCTCACGCGCAGAGGGTACCTTGGAGAAGCATCCTTCATCAGTAAGGACCTTTAGACGGGGTGCTGACGGTGGAAAATCCACACGCTGCTTTGTATCCATGTTCTTTTCCTGTGCTCTTAAGACAGTTACATTCCTTCTCTCCTTTTAATTCAAGAGACTCCAGAATGCCACATACCAGAGTCCTCAAGCCACCATTTCTTTTCAAACTGCTTTTAAATTTATAATACATATTTATACTTAATTCTGGCTACTTCGTAGGGTGATGGACGCTCTACCTAAATCAGAGGTCCATTCTCAGCACCTCAGCCAGAGCCGGTGCCCCAAAATTGGCAGTAGCCACCTACTCACACGACTTAAATAGAGTGCTTCCAGCTCGACCTTAGCTGTGTTTGGGGTTCCACTGCCCGTCCTTCTGCCCACTCCAGCAGGGACCCCAACCGGCACTTCAAAGCTGGCCGCTCAGTTTCCACCACCAAAAGTATTAATGCAGGCCTCCTCCAGGAGTTTGAACATGTCAACTCCAGCCCTCCTACCTTGGAAATTAGTTTCACACTCTGGGGGCCTTTTACAAGCCCTCAAATTCTCCAAGAATAGGAAAGAGGAAATGGCACAAGGGAACACCCATCTAACTTGGGGTCAAGCTTTTCAATAGCAGGTGTCAAGGCCTATCTGATGTTGCACATTGAAACAACTGCAGAGTCAAAGCCTTATAATGATCCAAAAGTCATGAGACATTTCACCAGACCTTCATTTGCAAGTCACACTCAAAACCAGACACAACCAGAATGCTGTGTGCTGGGGAGTGGGAGGGGGAAGAGGGGCGGGGGGAGGGGCAGCTTTGTGGTCTTGAAGGGGTAGCACCTTTCACCCTCAGACCCCACACTGTGTGGTTGTTTCACCCCTTCAATAAGTCACCAATCCAAACAGAACCCAAATCTGTCTCCACCTCTACCTACGGAGCCCTAACTGAAAAAACCTGCTAGTGATTCTTTCCCAATCAAAAATCCCTAAACACCAAAGGGATAACACCTCCGTAAGTAAAGACCAGCATGGGAAAGTAACCTGGAGTGGTCCTCCCAGAGACAGAACTACAATTACCAGATACAAATATTCGTGATGGAACCCTCCGCAGGTGCCTGGCAAGGAACTCACCGGCAAACTAAGTCGCGGAGAGGGTCTCTGCTCCCCTCACTGATAGCCTGAGCTTGCGGGGGGCTGAGAACATGGAAGAATGAGGCTCTTCACTGAAGAATGAGGCTCTTCACTTGGTAAACATCTACTAAAATAAAGACACTAGTGACCGTTCTCCATGCTCTCCGGGGTAGTCCCTTCCCTGCATCCCTCTTTCTTCCACACATATCCACTGCCCACGGGAAGGAGAGTTTGCAAGTGTCTTTTGGGAACATTAAAAGAAGCAGTTTCTATGTTACTTACTTTTCATCAATAGATGCCCCCCACACACACACACACACGCCCCTTGGAAAGGAGACTGTTCTTCAGTCATTAGGCTTTAGGTTAATAGTTTCCTGGTTTTATTTAGGCATTGTAACCAAAGACGAAACTGCAAGGAAAAATAAAGATTTTAAAGGGAAGACCCAGAAACCCATCCGGTTTGGTCCTGGACAGACTGCAGCCACATGGAGCGTGAGAATCCTACCTGACAATGAGTATGAGGCTTCTGAGACCTTCCAGATCCTTCTGTGGGACCCTCTCATGGCTGCCCTGGAGTTTCCGGAAATGGCCACTGTTGAAATCGTAGACCCTGGAGACGGTAGGTGGTGCCTGCAGCTATGACCCACCCACCTGATGGGATCCTGGGCCGTTGGGGCCTGACGCCTCCCTGAGGCTCCCTAAGCCACTACACCCGTCCATGCCACCTGGGATTTTAATTAAGCCAATTTACCTCACGGCTGGAAATCTACAGCCCTCCCTTGTTCTGGGGACTTTTGAGAAGGACCGTGGGAGACCGAGGCAGGGTTTTGGCAGCATTCCTTTGACACATCCACACTCCAAACCCCTGGCCCAGTGCTGCCTTCCAGCACCAGACCCTTCAGGGCCTCTTGGTGGCAGAAGCAAGAAGGGAAAGTATCATTGATATACATATGATGGGGGGAAACTGAGGCAACTAAATGTGTTTCGAATCCAAGAATTACTTGGATACACTTTCAATAGAATTTTATTTTTCAAACAAACACATGTGTTTCCAGTATACAATCCATGCTTCATAAGTTTTACAAAGCTTTGAAAAGCCCAAAGAAAAATAGTGCACATAATTCCATCAACAGAGGATGACCAGTATTTGTATTCCCATTTCAGTGACTGTTCCGATGGCATATTTATATTTCCATGATATCTGCACACATCTTCAGACGTAGGCACAGCTGTGCACACACACCCACACAGCTCAGTAAATGTCTGAGCATACCACTTTGACATGGAAGGCCAGACCAGTCATTTACTGTTCTTAGCCTCTTAAGTGGCCTGCATATGCTCATACACCACGTCAGCACAATAAATGTTGGATGTCTGTGCAACAATGCTGTGAAAGATTTTTCTGTATTCATGAATTAAATGACCTGATTCTTTAGGCATTAAAAAGTATATCACCCTCCCTGTGGCACAACAGGTTAAAGTGCAGCACTATGAAGCTATGGGCAGCCACTGCAGCACGAGTTCAATCAACGGCCAAGAAAGTGGCCCACATGGCGTGGCAGACCTTTCCTGGCCTGCCTGCTGCTCCCCTCAGCAGTGCATCTCACTAGTTCTGCCTGTTCTGCTCCCGACTGTCTCTGGTGAATCCTCTCACCCCCTTACACCTCTGACCTGTACCCCAGCTCTTGTATGCATAAATAAATCAATCTTTAAAACCAAAAACAAACAAACAAAAAAAGTATACCGTAGGTCCTCCCTGGTGGCGTAACGGGTAAGGACGCAGCACTGCAAGCTGGCTGCAGCCACCTCAGGGCCAATTCGATTCCCAGCCCCGGAGGTGACCACATGGCGCTCAGACCTCTCCTAACCGGCCCTCTGCTCCCCTCAGCAGTGCACTTCATCGATCTGCCTGTTCTGCCGCCCTCTGTCTCTGGTGAATCCTCTCAATGCCCCTGCACCTCTGACCTGTACCCCAGTTCTGTAGGCATAAATTAATTAATTAATTTTTTTTAAAAAGTACACCGTAAAAGTCCATCAGGAGCAGAAATATGTGAACGCTATTTAGATCTAAAATTTGACCTGAAAAAACAAAAAGAGACACAGTATTGCCGTGGGGTTCCCCTTCTCGCTTTAGTGATAGACCCTCCCTCGCCTCCCAAAGCGGGTCTCCTCGCCCGGCACCACTCCTGTCCAGCTTGGGCTCCTGCTCCCGCTCCTGCTCCGGTTCCCAACACTATTCGCACCTGTAGGCCCGGGTCAGCATGTCCCCAGTCACGCTGAAGTCTTGCTGATGAGCCTTCTGCTTTCTTTTCTAGAATCAACAGTTTATATTCCGGAGGCAGAATACAGAGTAGAGGAAGCTGCAGGGGAGCTACTGATTCCTGTGAGACGGTCTGGGGACGCGAGTCAGGAGCTGACGGTCGTGTGCTCCACACATCAAGGTAGGCGCTTTGTGGGGGCTCTCTGTCAGGGACACTGACAGTGGCTGCGGGGAGCCGAGTCCTGGGGCCCAAAGGGACCGAACCTACAAGGTCCGGTCCAGTCTGTCCGCCACGCAGGGAAGACATCTCTTTGGAGTTTATTACAGGTTGACAAGCAGGTAGGAAGGAGGAAAACTCAAATCTGTCACCCCTCTGTGTTGGGGAAGGGGATCATTCTGGTTTGGGATGGGTCTGAAAATAAAGACAATACAAAAATAGAAGCTGGCGGAATCTGACTGGCTGCTTTCTGCCGATTCCTGGTGCCACTGCAGTGGGGTCTTGGCTGTGACCCAGCTGCTTGCCTCATTTCTGAATGTCCCCTGACCAGAACTGGCCCCATCCCCCTTTGCTGTCTCCTGCCAGGGCCCTGAAAGCCACCTCAAAGACAGCAAACCCTTTCTTGGGATCTGTTCTCTGCAATAGAACTGTCTTGGTTATTTGACTGTGATTCTTTGTCAAAACTCACTGAAGATGGTGACACTTCACGTGCATCAACATGATCCTAAAATTAAAACTAAAATGCTATGGCCCTCCCTGGTGGTGCAGCGGGTTAAAGCACAGCACTGAGAAGCTTAAGCCACTTCCGCATGAGTTTGATTCCCACCTGCCCCGAAGGAGATCCACATGGCGTGGCAGACCTCTCCTGACCCGCCTGCTGCTCCCCTCAGCAGTGTTCTTCGTCCATCTGCCTGTTCTGCTCCGCACTCTGTCTCTGGTGAATCCTCTCACCCTCCGCGTCTCTGGCCTGTACCCAGCTCTATATGAATAAATAAATCTTTAAAAAAAAAAAAAAAGTAAAATGCTATGAACTTAAAAAGAAATCCTTCAGTCAGTATTTTTTTCTTCTTATAAAATAAGTATTTTTGTGCTACTACTATGATGTCATGTATAGAACCTCAAGCTGTCAGATTAAATTGATGCTCCTCTCTGCCCTGCTCCTGTAGGTTGGGAGGGGCCAGGAGAAATCTGTGCCCGCATCATGGGGATGGCTCCTCTGGTGCTAATTTCTCTGCACCTCAGTTTCCCGCGGATCTCAGTAATGAGTTGGGCTAAGCCAGCAGCAGCATCCTGTGATCTTTGGGTAATTTGCCCCTAATCTAAGCAACCCTTACCCACTATAGACCTTCTTTAAAGACCCCTAAGTGGTCATGAGTCTGTTCTGAAAATCTTCAAATTACAAGATCACTATTGGTGACTGCACAAGATAAGTAAGCGCTGGTCCAAGTAGTGTCTAAAAAATAGCTTTGAGGAAGCAACGGGGAGCAGATTTCCGCTTTGGAATTCCACGCCCTTCATCTCTGTCCCATCTCACATTCCCGTAGGCTCTGCCACAGGGACACTTCCTTCCTCAGCGTCCTCCTTTTCTGACTACATCTCACGTCCAAAAGACCACACTAGCATCCTCCACTTTGACAAGGACGAGGTTGAGAAGACCTGCCGGGTCCTGATCATCGACGACTCCCTCTACGAAGGAGAGGAATCCTTCAGGGTCTCCCTGGGCCTGCCGGCGGGAGGGCAGGTGGGAGCCAAGTTCCCCACCGCCCAGGTGGTGATCCTGCCCGATGGTGATGATGGTGAGTCTACCTCCTTCTTCCAACTCTTCGTGGAAGTTCCCTTCTCTTCTCTTGTCCCCCGGCAGCCAATAGATAACTCTAGCTTAAATGGTCTTTTAAAGATTTCATGTGCTCCTTTCTTCAAAGACTTTGAGTGACTTTTTAGATACACAGCTATCACAAACCCCAAGGACAAAATGCAGTGCAGGAAGATGGTGTATTTGTGCATGAATTTACTTTAAAAAAAAAAATGGAAGGAAGGAGAGAAGGTAAGAGGGTGGGAGGGAGAGAGGCATGTCCAAGAAAATGACCTAAGATTTGGCAGGAACCCAAGAGGAGGACCTCAGTTGACCAGTGATAACCCCGCCTGTACGCCCACAGGGCCCCTCAGTAGCAGAGCAGAAGTCCCCACCAAGAAGCACAGCGCATGGACCCAGGGCCAGGGCTCAAGGGTAGCCACTCCAGCTTCTCTTCCTGGCCCTACCTGAGGGAGACTGGCCTTGGGGTGCCAGCTGACAGTCAGCCAGGGAAGAGGGTGGCTCCCTCCTCTCCAGCAGTCCCCACTCCCAGCCGTGATGGTACCAAGTCCCATGTTGTTTTCCTAAGTCTCAGTTGCCTTTTCTAGAAAGAGCACAAGAAAGTGGTGGTAAAGACAAAGCCCAGAATACTTTACTATAGTCTTGAATTAAACAGACCGTTGCCTGTCTTGACTATGCCTCCGTCAGGACTTGAGTGGCGGTGAGACGCCGTGTTAACCTCAGACCAGGCGCTTCTCCGTGAACACAGGACCCAGCACCCCACGCTGAGCCGCGCCGAGAGGCCTGCGCAGACCGGTAGAGCTTGAGGAAGGTAGAGATTCAGTAGAGTTTGGCAAATTCAGTGTGTGTCACTCTGCTCTGGGTGAAATGGCATCTTTAGAACAACCGAGAATGAGGGAACATATGCGTGAGACGGCAGTGGTCTGGTTGTTTGTATTTTCGCTCATTTTGACCTCTCAAATAGGTTTGTTTGTGGATACTGGTAGACCAGACCTCAGCATGACATGACATGGTTTTGCTCCACACAAAGAAAAACCATCAAGGATAATTCAGCTCCCAGACATATGTTCACAAGTGTCAAGGACTAAGAACAAATATAAACCCTGAGGCTTTTCATTGAGCACTTTTAAAAATTTCCCCATCCAAATTAAGATAACTTGTTTTTCTTTAAAAAAAAAATGATGTAAGAAATTTCAGTATAATCCTTAATGGAAGTTTAGAGTTTATAGTATATCCTCTGATAAAACAAAATGATGTTAGAGACGTTCTACTGAGAATATTCATCTTGATTAGCTAGTGGTTGTGGGACAGAGGAATGTTACTCACGCTGTCATTTGTATGAATTAGCTGTTATTTTCCCAACAGAAGAGGAGGAGGAAGTGGGTCGGTTTCACTGAGAATTTTGAGAAATCACTGCCTGCTCAGGTTACTTGATGGCCACGTACTGCAAATAGATGACATGGCGAAGGCAACACCTTGTGGTGTTATGTGTATTTTGAAACCTAATTGAAAAATTAGGTGTTTTGTAAATATCAGGGTTTACAGTTAGGATCGTATAGGGCACGCATCCCATGGGGAGCGCAGGAAAGATGGCTGGACTGGGGGTCTGGAGCCAGAAAAGCTATAACCAAGTCAAGGGAGAAAAAAAAAGTGCAAGTTTCTGTCAGCCGCTACTTTCTACATTATTCTACGTACTTGTCTTCATAATACCACCCTCCTTTCATGCCAGTCTCAGTTGTCTGTGGTAATGAGCAATTAACGAGAAAAGGTTGGAATCTATGCACAAAAAGTCAAATTCCTTTTTCCTTCTCTACCCTTCCCCTATAGCAAGAAGTGTGGTGCTGTTTCTTTCTGTTTTCTTTCTCTACTGGACTGCACATTGGGTAAAGTTCACCACCACCACCACCCTCCCCCCCACACACACACAAAATGGGAGAGAAGAGGACAGGAGTCAGGAGCTAGAGTCACAGAGTGAGGAAAGCTGGATTCTGAGCTTTGGCCTCATCCCCACACCAAACCTCCAGCAGGTGCCACAGAGGTGCAAAGCAGGATTTAGACTGAGCCTTGGCCCTCTTTAAATGCCACGGGCTCTATCTCATCGCACGTGGGCACACACTGTGTAGAACAAAGAATCCAGTTGCTCACTGGTGAACATTAACAGAAAATTGTCAACCACTCACTAAATGGCTGTCAACCACCACCCTAAATGAACCAAAATTTGCAGTAGAAAGACTGTTGCCTTTTTCCAGTCTTAAATTGAAATACTTCCATGTAGAAGTGAAAGTGCCCACGAGGAAAGCAAGTGCTCTGAGCTGCCAGGGTGCCCTACCCCAGGAAACACCTTGGGCTGCTTGGCTCTCCGGAAACACAGAAACAGCCCCACACCGGGCCTGTGTGTGAAGGACGGAGCACATGGAGGTTTCAAGACAGTGAAGGGGGAATTTATTTTTGCTCGCCATCAAGAGGCAAGCTGTTTGCCTGTGACTACTTGCAGCTAGGTGGTAGGGATGGGAAACGCGGGTGCTTTCACCGGAAGAAGGCAGGCTCCTGGGTGCTCCGCGGCCTCACTCACCCTGGTCTACAGTGACTTGTGATGCTGTCCGCTCCCTGGTTTTGTTGTCTCTGTATGGAGTAATAAAGTCTCTTCTGTAAATCACGGGGACATGTGTGTGGTTTTGGAGGTGGGGGGGGGTGGTATTCTTTAGCCAACAGAAGGTCCAGTAGAGAAAGAAACAGAAAGAACCAGCATTACTCTTTCTGCGATAGGGAAAGGGAAGGGAAGGAAATAGGAATTTGACATCTTGTGCAGAGATTCCAACCTATTCCAGCCTTTTTTCATTAATTCCACATTACCAGAGACACCTGAGATGGGTCAGGAAAGGAGAGCATTATTAAGAAGAAAACTACGTAGAATAATGTAAAAAAAAAAAAAAAAATAGTCACTGACATGAGCCCATAGACCAACAGCAATCAAATCCCGAAAGTGGAAGCAGGAAGATCTGCGGTGGCTGATGTCAGCATGTGAGAGAACCACGGAGTCACCCGAGCAACACGCAAGTGGCTGCAGGGTACCAGAGATAAGCACAAGTCTTCGTATCCATTTCTTGAAGAACTGTTTTCTCCTTGCGCAGTGCCATAATCCCACTCTTTGTTTGAAGTCCTTAATAGTTTCGAATCATCCCATATTCAGAACAAAGAAATTGTGAAACTCTCCAATGCCAACTATGGAAAGAAACAAAATAGAGCAAAGAAATGAAGAAAATGAACATAAAATCCAGTACGTTGTGTAACTGTTAACTCCACTATTGCTTGAAATGGTTTTGGTAGACTCTCACAGCCATTAATTCATTTAAGTCACATTCATGGTGGCCCGAGTGAGCTTAATGTAAGACCACAAAGCCAGTTGGGCCTTTCTCCTACCTTCTAGCACATCTGACTTGCTCTTTAGATTTTTCTCAGACGAATTCTCTTCATGAGGAAAAAAAACCATGTCTAGCAATAATGGTGGAAGATTCACAGGTCAGTGTCAACCATCTTAATTGCTGCGTACTATCCAAGCAAATCACTGTTAGTAATTGTTGGGTCCAGGGAACTCACGTTGCGATTCCATAACATTAATGAAGGATCAAGAACTTGCTAAACCAAAAAAAATAATAAAATAAAATACTCAGCATGCTCTGCTTAAAGTGGCCTTTCTTGAAAGCTGACTGCATATGGGCAATGACACAATCAGCAGGAAAATGCCGAGTGTGGGATCCTTGCAGCACGGAGCCAGCACAGCCACCTTGGGCCATTCAGGGCCCAGGCCCTCAGGTCCATGAACAGAACAGTCATGGGTCACTCAAGGTCATTTCAGTCAGCAAAGGACCTCATTCACGCTACGCAGCCCGGGATGGACCATCCAGCTTCACGTAAGGACACTGACGCTTGCACAACAGGAAACCACCTCCAGCGCATGCCTCAGTGAGCGACCCAGCGTGAAGCCCAGCTGCTCTTTCTCCTCACAGGGCTGGAGGCTCACAGGTCACTCTGCTCCTGTGGGCTGCTCTCTCCTGCAGGGAGGCACACAGGGTGACCCTCAGCTCAGAGGGAGCTTTGCTGCAGACGGGATCTAACCCCACTCTCCTGAGCTACTGGGCACATTCCACAAAGCCAGTCTGTACCGAGGGCCTGAGACCTCTCACTGTGCACGCTGAGACCCCCCATGAGTTCAGACAGGCGTTTGTTCTGGAAGATCCTGCTGGGTGTCACCAGGCCTCACTCACTCCCCACTGGATGCTCATTTAGCAGCTGTCCCTGAGTGACCTTGCTGGGTGCTGCTTCCCTTCTAGTCTGCAGACTTCAAATAATCACAGAGTTTTCCATCTGTGGTGTACAAGACTTCTTTGAATGTCACCATTTTATTTTAACCTTGAGCAAGCAGCCACAAAGAGCGTGAGTGCCCTAGCGTAGGATGACAATCTTCTGGAGTGTTGACACAAAGAAATTCTCTTCATTTAGAGGTTAAGCTTTTCCCCCTATGTCATTGTTTTCCCTGAAGTCTCCACAGCACTGTGTGAACCAGGACCATAATCCCCATGCACTTCCGTCCCTCTTTTTTTTTTTTTTTTGCATTTTTTTTATTAAAAAGTTTATTTTTACATCGTTTTGCACATTTTTTTTCATCTCAATTGTAATCCCCACGGGTCCCTCTTTTAACCCCCACTTCTCCCTTGCTATTTGCTTCAAGTTTGTGGTCAGTTTGCAAATTTCATCTTTTTCCTGACCCTTTGTTCAGTTTTCCTAAGCTCACCTATAAGTGAAACCATTCGATATTTTTCTTTTTCTTTTTGACTTATTTCACTGAGCAGCTCTAAACATCTTGCAAATGGTATGAGTTTATCTTTTTGATTGCTCAGTAGTATTCCATTGTGTATACAGGCCTGAGTGGTTCAGCTTTAAACATTTTCTGTTCTAATGGCTGAATTAATTCATGGCATATCTGAGGCACTCAATGTCACCTTGGTCAGGAGTAAAATACTGTGCTCAAGAAAATGGACTATTTAAGAAATATTGGGAACCGCCCTTTCCTGTAGCAAAGACAAATTTCCATTTACGCCAAGACAGGCTCCACACCAGAAGATACACCCAGACAGCCCAGGAAAATGCTTCTTTTCTGGTTAGAATTGGATGAAATGTTTTTATTCTATTTCACTAAGTGTTTTTGTTTCCTTAAACAGAGATAGAATATCCCCTGTCAGTAAATCACCGCCTACCGGAATGCCTTTGTTAAACAGCCAGCGTGAAGGAATGCTTAAGAAGGGGCGCGGAGACCTGGCCCCCAAAGACCCTGGCCCCACTAGGCCACCGGAACCACCAGAGCCCCACACCCTCGGGCACTGAGGCCACAGTCTAGGAAGGGCCGCGACGGTCAGCAAGGGGGGCGTGGCAGGCTCCGTGTGTGCGCCCCATCTTCCATGGGCCCTGTGCCAGGCCAAGAAGAAACAGAAGATGCTTGTCACACTTTGTCACAGGCCCCTGCTAACTACTGAAAAACCCCTTTCAGTTGTAGGATGTAGGATGTTTGTAGGATTTGACGCCTCTTGCAACCTGCCGCAAAACAGGGCTGATGTCCAGCTGCAGACAGGGCTCGCTTGGTGCTGAGGCAGCCAGATGTGTGCAGTGCACGCAGCATTGCACATAAAGCTGCAGCAGGTTAGTATCATTGTTAAATCAGCATCGATGGGATAAAAAATACACAGAGACAGCCTCACTTTAGGAAATCAGCACGCCCAACTGCTTTAAAAATGTGGTTAATATCATTTCTGGGGGCCAAGATAAGCTACTCCAGAGTCTCAGAAATTGGAATAGCTTCCCAAGGCCTATTCCTGTGATTTTCCTGGAGTGATTATTCTCTCTGTGGGACCTTCTTGAGCTCCTCCCTAGCAGGCTCCCTAAGAATTGACACTCCCTCCACAATCTCTCTACTCCATGCTGAATGCACCAATGTCTCAATGTGCCAGTGAGGACAGAGTGGCCTAAGCGTGAATGTCTAGGACTTAAAAATCTAAATTCCAGTGCAAAAAGACCCGGCCGTGTAAAGTGCATTACCTGCAATGTGGTGGATTCAGGGAACCCGGGTCTGGCTCTCTCTGGAGAATCTCAGTGTAGGCAACTAGCTGGCTGGTGACCTGGAGAGATGAACAAAAGGCAGGGCCCGCGGTTGCAAAGGCAGTTTTCCCAGTTGACCGAACTCATCACGACCAAGGCTGCTGGCATGTCAAAGTGGACCAGAGGGCTCCTCGCCGGAAAGCCAGGACGGACAGTCTTGGGCTTGTCCAAAAGCGCCATCTAGAGGAAGGAACATTCACAGCAGTGGCCTCGCCAAATGCTGGTGTGTTAAGGGCGGACCAAATGACCAGCCGAAGTAGAGATGAATGTCCTCAGGAAACTGCCGCTGAGAAGCACCCAGCCCGGAGCGTGAGCAGTCTCCTGAGAACGCACGTGTGTCCGGGAGACACAGAATCCTTTTCTCAGCAACCTTACGACCACTAGGGTGATGCTCACCAGGGAGAGCTTTCCTCTCCTCCTGCTCTCCTGTGCAAGCGTGAAAGTATCAGACACATTGGGGAGGGGGTAAAAGTTCTAGATAAGAAGAAAAGCGAGGACATCCCCAGCCCAGCATGCACGCAGACTCCCATGCGGTCCAAGTCACCCACCAGCTAATGGGACCCTCCCCGCAGCGAGTGGTTCCAGGCATTAAGCCTCGAGCAAAGGATGACGGGTTTTTCTTTTTTACTTGAGTTGGGTTTACCTTTCCTTGTTTTCGGCGTTGACCCTGGAAATCAACATGCATATCAACTTCATTAAATTAACCATGAAAAGTCTAATTTCAACGCTTCTCCATTGCCCCCTCTTCCTCAGTTTACCCACCCCACTTCTCTTGCTCCCTGGTACCCCTAATTGTTCTTATAGCCCAAAAGTTAATTTTTATTTATTCATCTATTTGTTCATCTTCTCTATATACCACCTATATGTGAAACTCTGGCTTACTTCACTAAGCGGAATTTCCTCGAGGACATTCCCACCCATGTTGTTGCAAGTGGAAGAAATGCAGCTTTTCTAGCCAACTAGTGTTTCACTGTGAATATAAACCGTATAAACTGTACGTTTATCAGTCAGTGAGCTCTTGGGCTTCTCGTGTTTGACTACAGTAACCATCAGAGCAGACACACAGGGACACAGGCATCTCTTCAAATTAGGGGTTGGTGTTTTGCGAGTCAATGTCCAGAAGAGAGCCAGCTGGTGCGCGTGACTGTCCGCGGCTGGCTGTTTTCAGGACCTTCTGCACCACTCTCCAGCTTATATTCTTACCCCCATGCCAGCGGCTCTCCACCTCCATTCCGTGTTTCTTGTCTTTGGATATTGGCAAGGAATGACTAATTTCTCGAAGGAATTATGTATATGGCTTCGCTCACAGTTAAAAGCAGGTAACTCTTAAACAAGATCTTGAGAATGAGTAGAAAAGTGTGGAGTTTGCGCTTTGGGAAGGGAATTCCAGAACATCTCCCATAAGGACCCAGCCCGTGTGCTGTGGAGAGAGAAGTGGGGTTAGCACCCAGTGATTCCAGAAAAACAGTGGAATCAAATCAGATCATAAGCGGTCTTGCCCACCACGGTAAAACCCTTAGCAAAACCACCCTCTGGCAGTTAAGAGATTTACTAACCAGCATCTTGAGCAAGTTATAATTATTATATCCTGTTTCTACCCTTCAGATATTTCGGTTGACTCCGGATATGCTTCTCCATGGCAGCATATTTGCGATGGAAGCATCTCTTTGATTTTCCACTCTCCTGTCTTGGGGCTCTCCCATCCGAGGCAAAGTTGCTTCCTGGACATGGTTTTGCCTCCAGAGGCCACAGTGCAGACAGAACCCTTCACTTCCAAAACCTTTTCATGACCGTGTGTCCAGTGTAACAGCTTAACCTTGTGCACAGGCTGAGTTCCCAGCTAAGCCCTTCGGGGTATGGGGGGGGCTGCCTCTGCTGCCCAAGCCTGCACCAGCTCTGCCCTCACACTCTCCTCCCAAGAGACATCCGCCTCCCTTCCAGCAGCCCACACACACCCAAGCCCTGGTTTCTCTTTCTTAAAGGCCCCGCCCAGAGGCCGCGTTTCTGGCACCCCAGCTAATGCATCCTCCCTCCCTCCAGATTTGTGTGTGTCCCTGTGCTCAACACATGATGTGGGCTAAGACACAGCCCTCCCCCCCATTCAGAACTGGCTGGACTGCCCCTCAACATAAAGAACAACCGTCCTCAAGAAAAAAACTTCCTGGCCCCTCTCTAGTTACGCAGCAGGTTAGGGCCCACCACTGCAAGCTGGGCGCAGCCGCTTCAGCACAAGTTCGATCCCCAGCCCCGGAGGTGACCCACAGGGCGCTGCAGACCTCTCCTGACCCGCCCGCTGCTCCCCTCAGCAGAGCGCTTCCTCAGTCTGCCTGTTCTGCTCCCCGCTCTGTCTCTGGTGAAGCCTCTCATGCCCCTGCTTCTCTGGCCTGTACCCCAGTTCTGTGTGCACAAATAAAAAAATCTTTAAAAAATAAAATCACTGAGTTACAGCTACTGTACTGTGCCATTCCTGGGGGCGGCACCAAAGGCTGGCTCTTGTGGGCTTGGTCTCCATCCGGGAACCTGGCAGCCTGCTGACGACGTCCCCAGGGCCCGTGTGACAGAGGTGGCAGCCTGACCTGTGTGTTCTCTGTGCCCCCAGAGCCTGCTCTGCACTTCGCCGACGCGGAGTACCACGTGGAGGGACGCACCGGCGCCGTGGCCGTCCGCGTCCTGCGGACAGGTCCGGACCTCTCCAGAGCGGCCTCCGTGACCGTGCGGTCGGGGAAGACGGAGCCCGGCTCTGCACAAGGTGAGAGGCCTCCGAAGGGCAGCGCTGCGCTGGCAGGCGCGTCGCCAGGGCCTGGTGGGTCGGGAGTGACCTGCTTGGTCTTTAGTGACCGGGCCCCACCCCAGGTTTCCCCATGGGGGCCAGAGTGGGGGATGATCTCTGCTGTCTACCAAGTAGCAAGTAGCTAGGATGTAGCTGGCCAAATTAACAGTCGCCAGGATTCTTTTGTGGGTTTCCCCAAATTCAGAGTATTTGCAGATACTGGACGCTGCTCCTGTGGTGCTCTGGACCGGGGTCCACGCGTGACGGCTGAGCACGCAGCACATCCCGGGGCCCCCACTTCTGCTCCCGTCCTGCTGTGGACAAGCATCATTGCAAGGGGTGGGTTAGGTGGCTCGGAACAGCGCCCCTCTGTGGAGCCTACCAGCAGCCTGACCCCGATTCAGCAGTAAAATAAAGGGGGGTTTCCGTCTATGCTGACACCCCCAGTTCCTCATTTGCCAACTGGATCATGAACGATCAGCGTAGTTCAGGATTCGTGAGACTATTTTAGAACAAAGTAAAAAAGCACAAATCCCACAAATAAAGTCCAGTCATCCAAAAGCCACCACACACTGACAAAGTGCAAATACTCATCTATGAGAATGTGAACCCAGTTGTAGCTTGTACCCAGAAAGAGTTAAGAAAAATAAAGTCAGGGCCTCCCTGGTGGTGCAGGGGTTAAAGCCTCAGTGCTACAAAGCAGCCACTGCAACCCGAGTTCAATCCCCCTCCAGGGAGTGACCCACATGGCGCAGCAGGGCTCCCCTGTCCTGCCCGCTGCTCCCCTCAGCAGTGGATTTCAGTACATCTGCCTGTTCTGCACCCCACTTTGTCTCTGGTGAATCCTCTCAGTTCCCTGCTTTCCCAATCCTGCACCTCTGGTCTACATCCTAGCTCTGTATGCATAAATAAATAAAAACAAATCTTTAAAAAAATCAAGACAGTCAGTAGGTGTGTAGCAATAGTGCTTGTTCTTAGAGCACTGAACACATTATCACACTTCAAGGATGTTTCTTCAGCAAATTGGCCAGTAAGCTAGTAATGATATTTAGGGGGAATTCTGGGAAGGCGTCTATTTTCTTCTCTACCTTTCTTTTTTTTTTAGTGTTCAAGAAGGTCTTTTCTCACTCTATATGGATTTTTGGGACCACAAGTGAATAGAAAAAACAGCTCATTGGACATTTTTTGCTTTTGGTTGGGCAAAGAAATTCTAATTGACTCACATAAATTGCTTTGCATAGCAGTAATGATCCTTCTGCTAGCCCTCAGGTAGGAATGGACTTAGCAGAACGTGGCCTGCTGGGTGCTGACCCTGGGGGTAAGCCAGAGGATGCTAAGGCAGGCTTGATCATCTACAGAACTGGTAAATATTTGATATCTGCTCAACTAGGTGAATTAACAATACTAATTATGTATATACGTTTATGAAGTAAGAGCTACCTAAATAATTATAATTTCTAATTTGCTGGACACTGTTACCCCGCTCTCTTCAACAACGTTGTCTCATAGCAACAATTACCCCACTTTGCAGTAAAAGAAACTAAAACTCAAGAGGTTAAATAGTTCATGCCAGAAAGTGGAGGGATCAAGGTTTCAACCAATGTGCCTAAACTCCAAACCCTTTCTCTTACTGCCTGCCTGAGTGCTTTTCACCATAATCTTGTCTTTCTTAGTAGAATTATCTAATGGTGTTAAAAAATTAGAATGCACACAAATTTGTGACATCTCAAACTTGTAGGAAAGTGACCAGCACCATAAAGCACATCTCCATGTGGGTTCTCTGCTCCCCCCACCCCCGGTACCCAGTAAGTAGTCAGCCACTTGAAACCACCTCTCTGAAAACTGAGGATGCAATTCCTGAAAAAGACTTTTGCCTTTTCACCGCAGTATAAGCATAAGGCCGGGATGAAGTCTTCATATGTTACCACGATCTAATCTTAGATCCCATTCATGTTCTAACCAATTGTCCCCCAAATCACTGTTGCAAAAAAAAAAAAAACCAGTTCCGAATCACTCACACTATTCAGTTGTTGTCTGCTTTGTTTTCTCTGATCTGGTTCCTTGACTGTCACGACCTTGATGTTCTTCAACATGGAGATTGCCCCAGAAGGGTTCTGTCTGCTGCTTCCTCAGAGCGAGGCTCAGGCCGTGCCCTGTGGCGGGACTATGCCTGAGATGGCGTTTATTGTTGCTGCAGTCTATGGAAGAGCGCGTAGTTACAGCACAGCCCATGACTGTTAACTCCTAGCATGGGCTAGGGGGGTCTGCCAGGTGTTCCCACTATAAAGTTACTTTTCTTCCTTTGAAATGATTAAGGATTTTATGGAGAGATTTTGTCGGCATTGTAAATAGTCTGCTCCTTGATTTACTTATGTATCTATTTATACCACTCAGAGTTCCCTAATTTATTCCATTGTTTATAGTTTGTTATTATTGCACCTGACAGTTTTTAAGTAAGTAGCAAAGAAACTGCAGGAGTGAGCCAGTCTGCAAAATGATTACTAACCCAAAGTGGCAGAAACCGCATGGGAGAGAAATTCCTGGTCGAGCAACATGATGTAAGATTCAACCTGATGCCTGGCCAAGGAGAACGAGGGGAACTTAATGAAATTAAATACAGGATGGTTAAGGGTTAGTTGTTTTTGTTTGTTTGTTTGTTTGTTTTTGTTTTTTGTTTTAAGCTCAATCCTTCCATTACAAACTAAAATTGCTTTCAGGGAGGGTCCAGTGCGGCCAGAGGGATGTTGGGGAGAGGCTCAGGTAAAGTGCTCAGTCTCCACAGGGGGAGCCCACAGGGAGGTCTGGGGGAGTGTCTCGTGGCAGAGGGCGGGATGTGGCAATGTCGCCAGAGGGCGGGATGTGGCAATGTCGCCTCTCTGGGAATTGGAGCCACAAGACGAGGTTCTGGGAGCGCTGTGTACGCAGAGGAATGCTCCCGCTCTCCAGTTTCCTGGGAAGGAAGAGTGACTCCTCGGGTCTCACTCTTGATGTCTTCCCACAGCTGGAGTCCATTACGTCGGCATCAGCCGAAACCTGGACTTTGCTCCAGGAGTGCAGGTGGCGCTACTGCAAGTGACCATCCTCGATGACCCAGGAGAGCCCGTCCCGGAAGGCTGTAAGAGATTTGAGCTACTTCTGCAGAAGCCTGTGGGCTCAGTGCTTGGAGAACCGGATAAAACCACCGTCGTCATCCACGACACCCTCCCTGACTACACGCAGAGAGTGTGAAGTTCTGTTGATCGAAAAACTTTTAGGGAGAAGAAATGGTCAACATGCATCTCCTACAACAGGAGATTTTACTGCTTCTAGATCTTAACCGCTCTGGAATAGCAACAATACCGCCGCTGTCGTTGGTGTGACAATGTTCCGGTGACGTGTGTAGATACAGCGTCTCTGACTGTAGGGAGGCATAGATGTCCGTGTACAGAGAAACCATAGAGTTAGACTGTGCTTGTGTTCCTCTGTTTTCTTTTCTGCTGTTTTCAAAGGGGCGACATCCATTGTCATGAATCAACAGTTTAGAACAGAATTAATACCAATTAATGCTGGACATGGAGCTCTTTTTAACTCTCCACCTACCTTCGTCTTCTTTCAGTTTTACAGGCTGTTGTGATGAGTGCCTTAAGTGAAATTTGAAGCCTAAAGCTCTTTGGCCAATTGCTCGATTTTCTTCCACAATAAGTAAGTGTTTGCCAATCTTGACACTAACTCTCCCATCATCGGCAAGTGCTTTTATAAAGAGAATAATAAACAATAAAGCGACCAAAATGCAAGTAGAAGAAAAAAAAAAGATAGTGTTGCATGATCCCCAAACTACTCACTTAGTTCTTATTTTAAAATTAAGGCACATGTGATATGTAATATTCTCTTAGTTTCTGATGCCCAACATAAATCTTTCCACTTCTTTATCCATTTCATTCCCACAACATTTCTATTTGGTATTTATTATTATCCTCAAATGAAAGCACCCTTTCCCAAGTAATGGAAAAGGTTCTGAGAGCTTCAACAGCTTGTCCAAGGAGACTCAGAGTACCCTCAGCCTACTTCTAATGTTGGAGTTCTTTCTGAATTATCGCAGCATAGTGATAAAAGGCCAAAGCACCTCCTCCCTCACACCCCCAGCCCCTGCACTGTCAGATGTCTAAGTATCTCCTCTCTGATGTTCGAAGTCTCAATTTTGCTCTCACCACGTCAGGACCAGCATATTCCCACTGTGTGTTGTAATGGATCCCGTTACCGGTCACATGCAACACGTGTGCGGATGAGGTCTGGCCGTATTCCCGTCTTCTGTTAGACTTCCAGCGACAACTGAGTTGTTGAGTCCAACAGATACCACACCACAACGAATGGATTGGCAGGAGGACCTGGAAGCTGACAGCTCTTGTACCACTAGAGGGAATGTGGACTCAACAGTGGTCCCATGCCGCCACAGGTGCCTGCCAGTGTCCACACCGTGGTGGACAGTGTGGACCCCAGTGTGGACCATGATGATTAGCCCCAAATCACCGGGAAGCTCCTCCTCGAGGGAAACAGCCGAGATGAGATGTGTGGGTCTGTCTTCTGCCATTGTCTTCAGATATATGCCACACAGCTTGGTGTTACACCAGCCTGCAGTGACCTCACCCCCATCCTATGGCATCTGCCATTGACTCCTCAAAGTAGATCTTTTTTCCTCAAAGGGACAATATAAGGCAGAGAGAAGCCAACTGGGTGTCTGGAAAGTGACCGGGGTGGGTCACGTTCCTTTGTGGGACAGAGACGAGTCACAGCAGCAGAGTGGATTCTCATCCTGACTCTCGACATGGGAGCTGATAAAAGCAGGGTCCCCAGCCTTCCACCAGCTCCTTAACAAGCCATTTTCACTCCAGGCTTGTTCCAGTGGGACCCAGGTCAGCCAACAGGACCAGAAACTACAGGTATAGACCCTCAAACAAGCACTGCGGGGTGCTCTGGGTCTCCTGTTCCTGAGCTGCCTGTTGCCCTCTTCCCTGCCTCCGAGGGGGGGACAAGTGCCCAAGTGTAAGGATAGAGTCTGCTGCGTGGTGACGCCCGGAAGTCTGTCTGTCCCAGCTTGAAGGGCCTTTGCCTGGTTGGGCCGACTGTGCTGAGCAGCTTCCTGCCTGCAGACCAGACTGGTGCGGGCTTCAAAGTGAGTGTGCATCAGGACAGACATGCCAACTGCTCTTGTATGTTTTGATGTGTTTACTTCTGCATGCTTTGCATGTCCTTCCTGTCAAAAGAGGACACAACCATCCTGTCAGCAAAACTGGTTTTAAATAATCACCGTAGTTGTACATTATGGCTAGAAGAGGTGGTTTGGGTACCTTGTGCTATCTTTTTTATGTTTTGCTTTGGAAAATTGCTCTGAAGTTCGTTTTCCTAAACAGGTGCATCTGCCTTTGAGGATCTTACTAAAATGCAAAAATTTTCAAGTCTGGCCTGGGACCTGCCATTCTGTGTCACTAACCAGCTCCCCCAGGTCAAGGTTTCTTCCTCAGGTCGCTTTAAAGCCTGCACCTGGGACCTCAATTTTCAAAATACAGATCCGGGCTGACACTTTCAAGTCAAACTTGCCATGCTGAGTGATGCCTGCCACAGATGCAGTAACAACAGTGGAAGTTTTGGGAAATGAGATACTGGGTGAGGATATCAGAGGCCACTGACACTGTCATTCACATCATCAGTGCTTCACTGGCCTTAGGCAGATTCTAAACCAGGGGTACAGGCTTGAGTTTGCACTGTTACCCCCTTGCTTTAAAATAGTTCAGACTCAGGACAACTGTTTTATGCCTGCAACAAGCTGAGTGCTTTGCACTGGATTCCACTTGTTCGGCATTTCAACTTGAGATTGCTCACTACTCTATCCCAAGAAACAGTGCTAAGGGCAGGCAGGTTCTCAGAAATGGAAGTATGTTATTCAAATTGCAACTGTATCTTCCATAAATAACTATCATGGGGAAGCAATGTACAGTATGGTGACAGCAATTAATGCTGGATGGTGAATTGCAGGTTGCTGAGAGTAAAGATTTTTTCATCACAGGAAATGAATGTTATGCTGTTGTGATGGATGTTAACTAGATACCAGTGATGATCTCACAGTAAATTACAAATCATTGTGCACAACTGAAATCCAAACTGAAGCCATCTATCAAGTGGGGTTCTTACTGCACTTGAACCTATTAATGACCCTAAGGGCACACAGAGCCGTTAGAAAAAGTCTATTTTAAAAACATTATGAGTAATTCTATTTGATGAAATTATTTGAAATCTATCATTAGTGGGTTAACTGGTGAAGTGTTGAATATAGTTACCAGTTTACCATCTTTTGCTCCATGCCATGCACTTAGCACTCTTGACTAGGCAGAGTACCCTGCAAACCAGTATTTAGAGGTCCATAAATACAACTCTCTTAAATTAGGGCTGTTTAGCTCAGATTGCTTAATTATACTTTAACATACTGAGTGTAAAGCACTGCTATAAACTGAAATTAAGTGTAAGAATTTAAAATGCTGCCTAAAATAGAAAAATCCTTATTATTGGGAAACTTCCAAGGCCTTTAGTATTAATACTGGAGTGGATCACATCTTACCTCCTTTGCATTTATCATCCAAATGGGATATAACCAACCCAAGAGAACAGGGCCACAGTAATTATATAATAGCACACCACCAGTCCTACCCCAATGCCCCACTCCCACCCTCCCCGAGTAGGCTTCAGGCACCATATTCTAAGGCTTCTTCTTCCTCATTCCCAAACTGAGGAAATCAGCTACAACTGGGTTCACATGTTGCTTCTTCTCCAAGTCCTTTTTCAAAACTGATGGGTTATCATTCTTCCTTCCCTTAACATAGCTATGCTGACCCTACTCGATTCCAAACATGCACTGAAGCTGTATCCTCACTAACCAGACAGATGACTGTCTCACACTGGGTTCAGTGGCAAGGTTCAGCTTGAGTTTCTCCACCACTTCCAACCATTCCCCCCCCCTCCATTTCCCATTGGGTCCCAGAGCATTCCTGCTCCGCAGCTTCTCCTTCCCCACCCCTCAAGCTTCTCTTCCTCTTTGAGCATCCCACACAACCTCCTTCCCCCCAGGCCGTTTCTGTGACCTCTAGATTTTTTCAGCCTGGTGTTTTTTCCAATTATTTCTTCCAAAATGAGGTCTTCACTTCTAAAAATCTCTGCTTTCATGGAAAATGTAACCATCCTCAAATTTTGCATATGGCCCATAACAATAATTTTAAAACTTAAGGCTATCCAGAGGTCAGTTTAGGGGAAACACAAAATTCAGATTACTCTAAAATACGCCGTAAACACTGCCTTTTGCTTGACAGTGACAGCAGCGGTGCCACAATCCAGAAAATTAAGCTGTGCTAGTCATACTATAGAAAGCAGCACTTAAATTTTAAAAATTACAATTATATGTGGGCAGATGAAAACAACTGAGCAATTGTAGTGGAGCAATTCTAATTAAGGGAAAGAATGACCTAAGGAAAAGAAAGCAAAAATTAAATGAGAAAAGAAAAGAAATGAAAGACCACTTAGGATTATAAAAGTAATATTTATTCACGATGCTACATTTATTGCATTCCCTTAGAAAAATGGAGAACTGTTCATGTACCCAATTTGCACATATAAAACTTTATACAAATTATGTGTAGCACATAAAGGCCTCTGGTACAGCTAAAATCCTGACACTACATTTTGGGTATTCCTGCTTCAGGGTCTCCAGTTTAGCAAGTCTGTCCATATAAAACAAAACTGGAATCACAGTCAGTCTTGCTGCTCACACTTACAAATTATTGTTAAAATACAATAAAATAAAATGTTCACTTACTCGGAAACTCAAAAGTTAAATTGGAAGGGGATACATTTTGTCACCAATTGCAATTTAAGCAGCATGACGAATTCACACCTTATTTTGTCTGGGTCTCTTTAGTAACAACAACAAAAAAATCGCCTTAGCTTTGCCATTATCTAAGTTGTGCCTGCTTCAGAAGGTAATTTGTCAAAATATTTACCAAACATTAAAAAATAATAACATAATAATAATACTCCTTTTACAAAATGGTACAATAACACCTTAAGGAACCAGAACATACTAAATGTCTTTGGCTATACAACTAAAAGGCCATTCTTCCAAAGGAATAGGGCATATCCATTTCAGAACCAACACTAGAAACAGAAAATGTAACAGAAATGTGCATAGAATTTAATAATTGGTGTTGCCTTTTTCTCTCATCCTACTCATATAATAAGCAAGGAGAATGCAATTTACATAATCTCTCCAGGTAAGACTCAATAGCACTACAAAGAAGATACCCAAATTTCTGCAAAGGCAAAGTGAATTACAGTTACACAACTAAGACTGAAGGGGTGGATGTCATTTGCAATTTTTTTCTGTTGTTTGCTTTTTTTAAGATGTTTGCTTTTTTTAAGCTTTACAAGTATAGAAATTAAGAGTTGATAAACAGTCACAATCTTCACAAATGGAAAAAGAAATCAAATGAAACATTTATTAGTAAATGATGCCTATTTTATTCAAGTGTTATGATAAAAAAAAATTTCAGCACAGCTGTTGTGTTTAAAAAAGTGAAACTATATACTATATGTCTCTAGCTCAGTAAACAGATGAACCTGATGTCTGAATGACATAACAATTGAGCATTGTACAGTACATCTTATGAAGACCCGTAAATTAAAGAACTACTGGTTTAACGTTAGTGATGATGAAACAAATACGCATTCATAGTTTCAGCTTCTTTTTTCTTCCTCGACCATCAGGTGCTCCATCCATTTTACGTTTCTGCGTCTACAAACAAACAAAGGCTTATTTTCATCACCAGCTATTATCAATGGGAAAAGCATCCCCATGTAGCAGCAAGTACCATATTCTTACCCAAAATAATTTGGATTTTTGAAAAAATTTACCTACTCATTTTACTGACACAGTAACGAATTTTCACTAAATCGAATTTAATCCCTGTATTATGAAACACCACAACATGATGCAATTCAGTTAAACTTTAAGTGACTTAGGACTATTATTTACGAAAACAAATATACCAACAATGTCCAGAATCTTAAAAAGGTCACATCCTCTAAGAAAATATCTACAAATTTGTGACACTTACGGAAGGCTTTGGTCCTCTTTTCTTTTTCTCTGCCTTCTCCTTTTCCTCTAACTCCATGTTTTCTCTTTCTATCAAGGTAATTAAGGTATTACACCTCCGCTGGAGCTCCTGAACATAAACATTAATTTATAAGATAAATATGCATTTTCTACCTTTAAGTTTTCATTATTTACAATTTTTAAACAAAGGTGCTTTAATAAGGTAATAAAAAATTATCTACATATCTCCCAATAAAAATTTTATAAAAGGAAGTGACTGTCACACACAATCCATGCTATGAAACATGACAGGTATTTGTAAATGTTTTTACTTCCTTATTGAAACTCATGCTGTCAGGTATTCATCATAAATCCTTCCTTCA